TTATTTTTATTGTTTCGGTGTGGAACAGGTACACAACGCATTTCACTGCGCGTTATACCGTGTATAACTGTGTTTGTGACCAATAAAATACCTTGAACCTTAAACCTTCAACCTTGAGGATGTATCCTGCCTTCACCCTAAGTCAGCTGGGATAGGCTCTGGCCCCTCATGACCCTACAGAGGATAAAGAAGTGTAAAGATAATGGATGGATGGATGACAAACTGAAGCTTCTGACAACATTTCAGTCATAGAATGTCATGTTGTATGTGCAGATTCATGGTTTTATTATATTTGCCTCCCTCTTGTCTTACTTCTGCCTCTTGTGTGTCATCGTTTGTCTCCTCTGTGTTTGTTCCTGGGCGTGGACACCAGTTCCTCCTAACAGGGAATCACCTGACACACCTGAGAATCCTCCCCTGGTCTGACCTGCAGTACTTTAACCCTGGCTCCTCGCTCCACTCGTCGCCACGTTGTTCTGCCTGTTGCCATGGCAGTATCGGCAGCCAGACTCTGCTCGCTCTGACCTGCGGCTTCTTTGTGTCTCAGGTTCCAGTCTCCGCTGGTTGTCTCCTTGCCAACTGGCTCTCACCAACAATGTCCAGCCTGCAACTCACCGTGTCAGATGCCACGTTCGACAATCACCAATAGTCACGTACTCCAAGATTCCCACTCCATCCACTCACCTACTACAGCCTCCTCATCTCTGGGTTCCCTCCCCTGCCTCTCTGCGTGCAGTAAAGCCTGCATTAACTGTGCAACCAAGTCTGCGTACGGCCTTTGGTCCAGGAATAACTTTACCCATACCAGTAAGCAGCTCTCAGCGTGACTGACTTACATTCCTCTGCCTGATTCAGACCAAGCTGTAAATTTTACGCGACCATTCTGATTAACAGCAGGCCTGTGAGTTTGGGACTATATGGAAGTCAACAGTTCACACCTGCCAGTGAGAGCAGATGGTCTGCTTTTTACTAGTTCCCAGCAGAGCAACGTGGTCTGGAACAGCTGGAAACACAAGCCACTTAACCATCTGCTAATGCCATCCATGCAGCAGGTCTTACTGTATTTGTAATGTAAAAAAAAAAAAAAGAAGCTGTACGCTGCTGCAAGACCCATCAGAGCTGTGAGATGTTTACTGTTCACATTAAAAATATCAGATTGTTCACATTGCTATTCCCATAAAGTGTTACCTACATGCAGGAAGCTGTAGCTTGGATCAGAGGAAAAGAAGACCTTGGGTAGTTAGAGACATACTTTGAAATCACAAGTTTCTTGATAAATGCTCTCTGACTAAACGGATAAACCACCTAATTTTTACGATCAAAGGATCAAAAGAAGACTGACATTTTTATAGAATTTAGGGTACCAATCGAACTCTTAAACACAAATTAAATAAATGTAGAGAGTAAAAGGTGTACACAAGGAAAATAGTCCTTATATTATAGATTCCTTGTCAAAAGGAATTTCTTGCCTTAATGCAGCTGAAACAATCACTTGTGTCATGTCAAGGCAGCAAATAGCACTTTTCCATTGCTGCAGTATTTCTTATGGCTAAAACTGTTCACCTAAATAGCTGCTGCTGAGAAAAAGTAGTCTGTCATTGCTGGAAGTCATGAAGGTCAGTCATCCTGGAACATTCTGGGAACATTAAAAGTTTTGTCAAGTGCAACAACCACCAGACTTTGTGATAAAGCAGGAAGGATCGCCCAAGACAGGAGAACCAAGAGCTCCCTCTCCCGCAGAGGAGAACTTTATTGGAGTTAGCAGACTCAGAAATAAACAGCTAACAGCAGCTTAGATTAGAGCCCACATCAGGGTTTCCAAGAGTTCAAGCTGCATCACTACATCTCAACACAAGCTGTTGGAGGAGACTGAGTGAATCAGACCTTCATAGCTGCTATGAAGGTCTGTTATTTTTTTAAAGACTTATTTGCACAGTACAAAGGTTTTGCAAACAATCTTGTGATGGGAGGAGAAACAAGGTGAAGTTGTACAGAGATGAGGAGGCTGCTACAGGTTTGATGGCTGTATGGAAATGGAGTCGAGTTTAATGCTTGATGTCCGGCTCCTCTGAGTGTGGCATGTTCTTTTGTGGATGGCTGACAGTGACAGAGGATGTGAACGTGGCATCTGACATGGTAAGTTGCAGGCTGGAGCTCAGTAGTGGGAGCAAGCTGGCAAGGAGACAACCGGAGGAGACTGGAACTTGAGGCACAAGGACTTTGCAAGTTAGACTGACAGGAAGAAGCAAATTGAATGATCAGACTTGGGTCAAGGATACTACCACAGCAACGGGCAGAACAGTGTAGCGAGGAGTGGAGTGAGGAGCCAGGGTTGACGTACTGCAGCACGGGATCAGCGGATGGATTTCAGATGTATCAGGTGATTCCCACAAAGAGGAACAGGTGTCCACGCCCAGACACAGACAGAGAGGACAGAACAAACAAGAGGCGAAAGGGAAATGGTGACACACTGGAGAGGTTTTCAAAACTCTGAACCAGCGTTAACACAACCTAGACAGCCATGTCCTATACAGTGTACATTGTGTGTGTATTTTCATTTGGATTGCATATGATGAAGCAGTTCTAAATGTACTTTCTTGGGTCTGTGTTGCAGCTTTATGGTTTCATTTGAGACGCTCAGGTAATCCTCTTTGCTGCCACAGCATTGATCTGCAGTTAAACCCACCACCTTAGCAGCTTCAACCCATATCCACTTTCGTCACAGTGTGCTTCCAATCTGCCTTTGTATAATCCCATTGATTTAATCCACCTAGGCTATATGAAGCGATCTGAAGACACCACACATGTCCAGTATATCACAGACATGTCTCATCTGCACAGCCAAATGAAACAATATACTTGCCTGTCACTCCTATCCACTCTGTGTCTGTTTCACAATCAAATATTCAATTTAACCTCTTTGATTGTGTTTACTGTATTGTTAGTAGTGGTACAATAGATGCAGCAGAAAAACAATAAAGTGTGTAAGACTGTGTGCTGTAATCTTAACCATGAGAAAATTTAATTATTCCTCACTGTGGTTGCATTTTTTTTTTTTTTTAAAGAAAATAAACTATATTACACCTCTTGCACTAACTTGTCATTCCACTGGAATTTCCCAGCAGCCGTGAATGCAGCATTACGCACTCGTTCAACACCGAACGTTACCGTGACTTTGTTAAACTGACAAAAAATAAAAAAAGATCTAAGATTAGCGATAAAATAAATTATAAGTTATATTAGTATTTTTTAAATGAATGTATGAATTTTTTTACCTACTAAACACAGACCTCGTATTCCTTGTAAGTGGAGGTTAGCTACAATTCCTTTGAATACCGTAGCTCGCTGTTGTTAATTAGCATATTAGCAGCTAGGACAGCTGCTAGTTTACCTGCTAACGGATAGTGTAGTTTTAGTTTGTTTTGCTCAGCGACACTCTTGAGGGTAATGCGAAGACTCGTAATAAGTGCTGGGCTGAGTATTGAGGTAAAATTGGGGATTTTTACAGCAGGTGATTATAAAGGTAGCTATATTATTAACAGCAAGGAGTAGCACTAGGACAGACGAGCTAGCTAGCTAATCAAGGATGTCAAATGCATGCTAACTTACCAAACAGAAATGTTATTACAGAAGTGAGTGCAGTGTCACCTGTCAACTGAGTCAACATTATATCACCTTGCAATACTTGTGTTGTATATTTACTCTTAAGCAGAATTAAAAACTAACAGTTGATATTTACTGTATTTAAAATACAAGCCCCACTGTAGGAACTCAGTGCAACAAAAGTGAGTAAATTAGTCAGATTCAAATCTTTGTTTTCTTTTCTAAAAATATTTTCTATGTCCACTTTTTAATGACCGACTCAGCCCTCCTTGACACGGAGGATACCCAATTTATGCCATTCTTTTTTTTTCTCTCCAGCATTACACAAGAGGGCAGTGAACAGCAACAAAGGGCCAAAACGTACAACCTCCCAAGAGGTAAGAATAGCTTCAGGTAGTTGTCCAAGACAACAGCTTTTGAGTCAGTAGCAGCTCAGAGAATACAGCGTTCTTAAGGGTTCTGAGGAAATGTTGTTAAAGACCAAATGTTTAAAGTGTAGGTAGGACAAAACCCAGAGAAAATGGTCATTTTACTGCTTTGCTGGTATTTTGTTTCCATCTGTATTGAGATTTTTCAGTGTAGTAAATGTAAATAATGTTCCACTGCAAACAGATGGAATGCTCACTTGCAAATCAGGACGAATCTCCACCAACAAAGAGAAGAACCACGTCTGAAACATCTACTTTGAAGTCAGCTTCTTCATTTGAGGATACAGCTGCAGGTATGCCAGTCACAGAATGTCGTTAATATTGTTCATACAGCGTGTTGAAAGTTAGTGTGGTTCAGCTTGGCATATAAAATGAGGTCACAGGAAGTTAAAATGTCAACAACTAATGTTTGCTTGTGAGAGGCATGAGTTTAAACAGGATATGGGTCGGTCAGTTTGAAGAGAAATGTGTCAAACCCAGTTTGCAGTTGATGTCTATCAGCTTCTCTTCTCTGCTCTATTTGAAATTTGCAAAATTCTAGTCATAGAAAAAATGAAGTACATGTGTTTTTAACTCTGCATTTAGACGTATAGCCTGGTCACACACTTCTGAATTCCTGCCCACTTTTGATTTTTTTCTAACATTCATGTAAACAAGGTCACAGAAAATATACTGAAGGGAGCTGAAGTGGCTGAGAGGTTTTTGCCTCTCAGTGAAACTTGCTGCTGTTGTTTTTGCTTTCTTGTTACAGGTGCAAGTTCAGAGATCAGCATGCTGGCTTCCAAGTTTTCTGAAATGTTAAGGTAATTAAACTAATCAGTTTCCACTGTTATGTAAACGAAAGAATGAGCTTTATATTTGTGACTGGTGCCAGATAAGCATTTAAAAACAGAAGTTACATCACACAGATCCCTTTGTATTCTGAAAAAAGATCAATTTAATGCAGATACTGAAGGGATGCTGTAGTTTGGTATCACAGATGAATCAGGTTGTCACAGTTTCCCATCAGGATTCCTTTTAAACTATTTACCATAAGCACATGCTTGCTGGCTGAGTGCCGTATTTTCGTATTTACGTGGCTTCATCGTCAGTTTTTATGGTTTGTTGCAGCGAGAGAGCTGCTGCAGATCACGCCCAGATGAAGGAGTTGGAGGGCATTTTGACCGAAGCTCGAAACCTGGAATCCTACCTAAAAGAGAAGAAACGCCATCTGAGGCAAACACTGGCTCTGATTTCTGATAAACTGCAGGGTTAAATGTGCTTTACGGCCTGTGATGTAGCAGACATGGTTTATTTTAGTTATATGAATAGCTTTGTTTGTGCATTGAAAAACAACCATTCTACAGTTAATCTAGTTACAATGTGTACTGTGTGACTATTGATAAGTAATAATACTTTCATTGTCATAGGCTTACTGCGTTTAAAACTCAACATGAACAAGATTTTATTTATTCCTCTTTAAATCGCTGCAGAAATAATCACACTTTCACTGTTGATGCTTCACTCCAGCCTTATATGTTGTGATATGACTGATTAAATGCCACTGTTTTAAATACTCAAAGAAAGTTTATGTAAAAAAAAAAAAGGCCTCTCCGCACACACACCGAAAGAGAAGTACAGAAGAAAATAAACGACACAAAATCTTTGCTGCACTCTTCCTTGTCATGTGACCGCTGGTGTGTTTCGGGGGTGTTGAAGCAGCATGAAGACGACTGGCCGGCCAGCAGAGGAACCAAGCGCGCCACGTGAAAGTGACGTTAGTAACTTGAGGTCAAATATACATTCATTATTGGTTTTTGTACATTTCAAAAAGGATCCAGCTTTTTTTTTAGCATAATAATTTTAACTGGCAAACATGTAATTCCAGCATTTTGTTTAAAAAAAAGTATTTTATTTGCAGATTGTTCACAGTATTTCATGCATGTATTCAGAAATGTGCATTTAAGTCACACAGTGGTTATTCATGAAATCATTGGTTAAATGAATGTAGCTTTCTCCAACAAAAGTGCCAAAGCATGCGGTTACTTATCAGTCTCAGACTCTGTGATGCCATAAAGACAGTCTATGCTGAACTTGCACTGAAGCAGAACAGTTTCTTCTGTGTAAGAACGTTTATTACAGCCACAAATAGAACAGCAGATACAATAAAGACACATTTCTTTCATTTTGCCCCAAACACCCCCTTCTTCAGCCACCCAAAGCCCTCGTCATACCATTTGAATGTTCTGAAATAAAAGTATTGAGTACGGAAAAAATCTACCTCTTTCTAACAAGTTTGCAGTGTCTCTAACGGTACAACATATTATTCTCTAAATCAGCATGTAGGATGAGACAAAGTGAAGGTCACAAGCGATGTTTACGTAGTGTAGGTCTCATTATCTCGGGTCGTTCTTTGCCTCCTCACACGTCTATGCTGCAGAATTGAACGTCCCGTGGAAACCGTAGGGGATGTTGACGGGTACCTCAGCCCTGCCCAGCTCCTCGAACGTCTTGGCATCTAAAACCAGCAGGAACGTACTCTTGTCCTGGATGATAAACGTAAGACACAAAGACAAATAATGGCTTAGTGTTGATAGATTTAGGCACCAAAATGTCTCCCACAGTGTCCTCCCAAGCTGCTGGTTTTGAGAATCAGTTGGATGGATGGTGATTTTATTTTTTTTTATGTTTCCTTTTTGAACCTTGTATGGAGTGATGACCACAGACAAGACAACTCCGTCGTCCTCCTCTGTAGCATTAGGGGAGGGAATGAAGACTGGTTCAGAGGGATACAGTCCAGGATGGTCCCACACCTGCAAGAACATTATATTGACGTACAATCTTGAGATATGACACTGATCTTCGAAAGGCGAATTATGTTTACATCTGAAAATGACTGGTTTCAGTTGTATTTGTTGTGCTCGTCAGGAAATTAGATCTCAAAGATTAAATACATCTCCTTTTTTTTTTTAAAACTAGTGTTACATCTTACCTTCATGTGTTTCCCATGGAGGTCCATCTTGATCAGGGTGTCCCCGACAAGATGTCTGAAGCCACAGCCGTAGAAGTAGCGGTAGGGGTGGGTGTTGTACCTGCCATAGTTGATCTGAGGGAACTCCAGACCTCCGTATTGATGGAGATCTTCCCTGTGGAGGTCTTCATGAGTGCAGAACACCTGCACAAAGAATAAAAATAGTCAGGGAACATTTACAGTCAGGGCACTTTGAAAGCACCACATTGTGCCCATTTTGAGTAAACACAGAAAAGTCTTGTGTCTGCTGGATGTGTCTTTTGGTTTTCAGGTCAAAATACCACAGAGATCCATTTTTATTTATAATTTTATGCTCAAGAACATGTATGTTTTCAAGACAGAGTGTCCGTCCTGCCAGTGTTTAGCTAACCGATGTCTTTGTCTGATGTTACTTGGTGCTATCAATCAGTTCCTCTTTACTAAACACCTGTAGAAGACATGTTTCACTGAAAATGCGTTTCCAGAGTGTTGACACGTGTGGATCGTGTCGGCTTCCTACCTTGCTGTTGCCAATTCTTACAGACGTGGCTGTGCTGTTGGGCCGGCGGTTTAAGTTCTGGTCATAGGGCGTGTCCTTGTCCACGGTGAGAGGCAGCACGAAACGGCGAGGGAAGACTCGACTCAAAGTGTTATACACCTGATGAGGAAATACGGATTGTGTTGACTTCAACAAACCAAAAAGCAAGTCAAGCAGTTCACTTACATTACATCTGTGTTTAGATAAGGCAGCTGGTACTTACAGCAGGCCTTTTTAATATTTAACAGCTAGACTGGATTTGTGTTGCACATATTTATAATTCAGCTCTGCCAAGTAAAAAAAAACCAAATCCGATATTGACAATGTCAGTCTTCCACTGCTGCTGAACTGCATCGGATTCTGACTGGTTGTTGTTTCAGTTTCAGTTTAATTGTAGTTAAAAATATCTTCAAATCCAATCTAAGCTTCTGTAATGTTTTGCTAGATTTCTTCTGTTCAGTTTGACCCAGTCAATATGTAATTAAAGATAGCTTGAATTTAGAGTTTTTAAGGGAAATGAGGTTGCAGATATCTGTAGTTATATCAAAAGTTATGGTGGGATGACTTGCTTTTTCTCCATTTCACCACCAATTTAGAGAAGCCTGAGGCCAAAGTTCCAGTAATTTCACTCACCAATTTCTAATGGACAAAGATCCTGAGCTGCTGATAAACTTTTCCTGTTTCACGTGGTTTTCAAACCTTCTAATCCACCACAACAGCTGCTTTTACTTTTATAGCAGAATAGAATGTCCTTTATTAGTCCCACAGGAGGACATTTG